CATTCCTACTCTCTCACTTATGGACTAGAGTGTTATTTGATTCTGGTGCATCACATTCATTTATTACCGCATCTTGTGTGAAAGACTTGGGCTTAGAGGTTGAAACCCTAAGAAAGCCAATGCATGTGAGTTCTCTCATAGGAGCTAGGGTGAGGGTGGACCAGATATGTCGGGGTTGTGAGTTAGAGATCTCGGGGAATGTAGTCATTGTGGACCTTAGGATCATGGACATGTTAGAGTTTGATATGATCCTTGAGATGGATTAGTTGACGGGACATCAAGTCGTCATTGATTGTGATAGGAAGAGGGTCACTGCTTACACACCTGATGGTGTATGTTTCAAGTTTCAGGAGAAAAAGCATGATATTTTACCCCAAGCCGTGTATGACTTAAGATGGCATGGACAATTGATGGATTGGCTTGCAAGCCTTACCCTTGAGGATGAGGTGAGATAGGAGTTGGGTCTACCTCAGGTGGTGTGTGAATATGAGGATGTTTTTCTGGATGAACTGCGGGGATTACCTCCATATAGAGATGTAGACTTCAACATTAAGTTGCATCCCGGTATGTCGCCTATTTTTATGACTCCACATAGGATGGCACCAACTGAGCTGCAGGAACTCAAGGTCCAATTGCAAGAATTATTGGACAAGGGCTTCATTAGACCGAACACTTCATCTTGGGGCACTCTGGTGTTATTTGCCAAGAAGAAGGACAAAACCCTTCGACTATGCATAGACTATCGGTAGTTGAATAGGGTTGCTATCAAGAATAGATATCCCTTGCCAAGGATTGACGACTTGTTTGATTAGTTGAGAGGAGTGTGGGTCAACTCCAAGATAGATCTCTACATCGGTTACCATCAGTTGAGGGTTAAGGAGGCTGATATCCCTAAGATGGCATTTCAAACGTGGTATGGGCATTTCGAGTTTACAGTCATGCCTTTCAGATTGACGAATGCTCCAACTGCATTCATGGACCTCATGCATAGGGTGTTTCAACCCTACCTTGATTAGTTCATCGTGGTCTTTGTTGATGACATCTTGATCTACTCCAAGTCTGAGGAGCATGAGGGTCACTTGAGGGTTGTTCTCCATACGTTGAGAAATCATCAGTTATATGCCAAGTTCAGCAAATGTGAATTTTTGCTTACTGAGGTGAAATTTTTGGGACATGTAGTGTCGGGTTCGGGTGTATCCGTGGACCCAGAAAAGGTGGAAACAATTATGAATTGGGGGAGATCGAAGTCAGTCTTCAAGATACGCAGTTTCTTGGGATTGGTCGGGTGCTGTAGGAGGTTCATTGAGGACTTCTCTCGATTTGCTACTCCTATGACCAAGTTGACCCGGAAAGAGGTCAAGTTTGAGTGGAGTGATGCTTGTGAGAAGGCATTCCAGGAGTTGAAGAGGAGGCTTACGTCAGCTCCTATTCTGGTCATTCTGGAAAGGGGATAGAGGTACACAGTTTATTGTGATGCCTTAAAGGATGGACTTAGATGCATTTTGATGCAGTCCAAGAGGGTGGTGGCTTATGATTCTCGGCAGTTAAAGAATCATGAGCAGAATTACCCTATGCACGACATGGAGTTGGCGACCATTGTCTTTGCCTTGAAGGCTTGGCGCCACTACTTGTATGGTGAACAATTTGAGGTGTTTTTAGACCATAAAAGTCTGAAGTATATCTTCACACAGCGGGACCTCAACATGAGGCAATGCAGGTGGATGGAGTTTCTTGAGCACTATGACTTCACCTTGCATTACCATCCTGGTAAGGCAAATGTGGTGGCTGATGCACTCAGCCAGAAGTCACGAGGAGTCTTGGCTAGTGTGGCTTCTAGGGAGTGTCAGATGCTCAAAACTGTGGGGCAGTTCGGGCTACGATACATGGGTCAGACTGACAACATTTTGGGGAGTTTGGTGGCTACACCTTCCCTACTAAGCAAGGTGATTGAGTCCCAGGGGCTGGATACAGAGTTATCATCCTTTAGGGACCGAGTACAGGCAGATTCTGGTGACGAAGGCACTCGGATGGTAGTCTTTGGTATAGGGGGAGGATTATGGTTCCCCAGTTGGCGGAGCTTAGAGAGGAGATTCTCAGGGAGTTCCATTGTTCCCGATTTTCTGTACATCCAGGTGACGCGAAGATGTACCATAATCTTCATCGCCAGTATTATTGGAGTGGGATGAAGAAAGATGTTGGAAACTTTGTTAGCCAATGTCTCACGTGTCAGCACGTTAAGGCTGAGCACCAGAGACCAGCGGGATTACTCCAGCTTTTGGAGGTAGCTGAGTGGGAGCATGTCACGATGAACTTTGTGACTCACTTGCCACTGACATCGAGGGGACATGACGCGTTGTGGGTGATAGTGGACCGGCTTACCAAGTCGGCACATTTTCTGGCTGTCCGGATGACCTTCACAGTAAAGAAATTCTGCAGGTTGTATATACGGTAGATTGTCTAGTTGCATGGAGTGCCCATGTCCATAGTATCAGATCGGGGTCCCAAGTTCACAGCTCAATTTTGAGAGAGTTTCCAGCAAGCGATGGGGACTCAATTAACAATGAGTACAACATTTCATCCCCAAACAGACGGTTATTCGGAGGGGACCATCTAGACATTAGAGGAAATGCTACGGGCATGCATCCTAGACCTCAAGGTTAGCTAGGAAGATCACTTACCCTTGGTAGAGTTTGCCGACAACAACAGTTGCCAGACGAGTATACAGATGACACCGTACGAGGGAAAAGAGAGGATTTCTCCACTTTCTCTCTACGATCTACGACTCAACTGGCTTCGGATCCATTCACGCCAAAAGGAAAAGTCAATCTCCTCGCCAAGGGCTACGCAACCACAACAAAAATGACAGGTTTCACCGAGGTTGAAAAATGAGATTTTGCAGAAGTGAGGATTCAAGATTATTTTAGGTTCTTGGAGCATCCCAACGTCATTTTACGCTTCAAGAGGTAGGAGTTCTCCTACTTTGGTTCATTTCCCACTTATAGTGTTATATAAAATGTGTGGGTTAAAGGAAATATGTATTTCACTCATTTATGCATATGACATGGGTGAAATGGGTATGAAAAAGGAGTATGAAAATGGGTTGGAATAGATTTTTCTAGCTTGAAATTGTGATGTGGAAATTACTTGGTTGGTAATTCCATGGGAAAAAGTGATTACATGAGCATGTTATATGTGTTATATTATACTTTGTGAATGAGGTGGAAATCCTTGTGTGATAACATGAATTGTTGCCTTGTAGGTGTTTGCCAAAATGCCTATGTGTAGATTAAGTTGTTATGACATGATGATGTATAACATGCTTAGTAAATGTGTTAGAAAAAAATGTTAATATGTGCTCATTGATATATTGACTTTGTAATGATTCATAGGATTTATATGCTTATAATATGAATTACCATGGGATATGTGGATATATGGTTAAGTTGCTCATTTGGCATCCATTGCATCTTGGGCGTACTATAACATCGCATTCATGGGCTTAGGCATGAGTGTGGGTATGCGTGGCGCATAGTTTAATCAAACACCACATGTGGTGGTTGATGGTCGGCTCGGAGAAGTGAAATTGAAAATTTCACTGAGTCGCACGTTTGCATGCATGGAAAAATTGAGTCGGGGTAGCAAGAAGGGCTAGACTATCCCTCAGGTGAGAGGCCCGATGATTGGATACGCACTCTGTAGGTATAAGAGCCCAAGAAGTGTGTCGGTGTACACAGAATCGTTGGTGGAAGTCCATAAATTCCGTGTCGGTTGGGTGCCATTGGTGTAAGTCCATAAATATCCACCCCATTTAAAGATTCGGAGATTTTAAATAGTCATTTAGAGGATAATATAAATGGCCAGAGCTAGAGGGGCTCAGTTTTATATGCATTGACATTTGCATGTGTTAAGGAGCCGGGAAAAGGCTCGGGGTTAAAATGTGGGAGTGAATCTTATTTCATTCATGGCATGACATGGTAAATTCCATGGGGAATGCGAACATGGATTACATAATTCTTGCATTGGAATGGATTTTTGGTTGTGTTTTATTGCATAATACATCGCATATGCACTTAGGTGGGGAGTAGCCCTCGTAGGAAATTTTCTACTGGGCGTTGGCTCACCCTATACGGGAAAATATTTCAGGTGCGGACTACACTCTGATAGATGGCACTCTTTTGGGGCATCAACGATGAAGAAAAGCCGAATTGTGGCTTTTGGAAACAAGTTTTTGTAAAAACTTTTGTTTAAAACCCATTTGGCATGTAAATGTATGGAATGGGTTGTATTAGACGTTGTATATATTGGATTATATGTGCAAAACATGATTTAATATGTTTTTGATGAAAAATGTAGGTTGTGGAATTGGTTAAAATCGACAACAGGTGAATTAGGCAAAACTGGACAAAGTGTACCGGTACAGTCTGCCCAAAAGGAAAAGCATACCGGTACTTTCTGTCCAGAAGGCAAACTGTACCGGTACACAGTACTGGTACTGTCTCCTAAAACCTGAAAATTTTAAATTATTTTGCCATACTTTTGGGCTTTGTTTTCCTTGGTTCCAATGATACAAATGAACTTTAAATAAGGTATATTGGACCTTGGTTGGATTAAATGATTAAAGTAACAAGGGTAATACGTGTGAGTTAAAATTTGAGATAATGGAATAATAACAGCGTGATGTCGGATCAAGCGACACACACGGGCAATTCCGCGTGTTGATGGGTGGTCAATGGGTTAATTAATGACTCCCAATTTTAGGGGCATCACAACGTGCTAACCCTAATTCTTTTGATTGTGCTTCCCAACTCGTTCTCTCTGTAAAAGTCTTGTTCCTACACTTAACTAAGTCCCTAACCATCTCCAGATCATCTTCGTACACACCCCTTAGCTATCAATTCATGGTTTGACTTTCTGAATTTTGAACCCCTAACCACTTGTACACTCTTTTACACTTATTTCTTGATCACCGAACTTTGGGTCATTACACTATGGTGACCGAGGTATATGGAGATGAGATGGAGACTGAGCTACATACTCCTACCACTTTTGAGCCAAGACCATTGAGTGCACCATCACTAAGGCACACTCGAGCTAGCACCTCACATACGCCACTCCTTATGACCTCTCCACCTACTCCTTTTGATCAACGGACAGGTGTTAAGAAAACTTTAGCTCACATATAGAGTAGTATTGATCAGCAACACAACCTCACAACACTCAAACTATATGCTATTGATGGAGCGATGTCTTTTGTTGTGAGAGATTAGAGGGACATTCACAAGGAGATACATCGCCTCAAGAACATGCTATCAAATCAAAGATTCATCAATGAGGATGAGAAAAAGACCTAGCAGTGACATTGAGATTGTGATGGTGTTGGAGATGATGCAGCCACTTGAGCTGTTTTAGAGAATTTATAGTTTAGGGCATATGGGAGATTTGATTTAATTTTTGTTTGTAGTGATAATACTCTTCATCCAGTTTATTGATACTTTATCATATTATATTTTGAGTTATATGCTTTGTTTGTCCTTTGATCACTTTATATGCAGGATTTAGCTAGTTGGCCTATGTTTATCCCTTCTTGTTATAACATGTTTCTATGTCATGCGTTTAATATTCTATAAATTAGTCACTGGTTGATCTTTTTGGACCCCAAACATGTGACAACCCAACTAAGGAGGAATGCATGGTTCCCTGGAGATTCATGGGACAAATGTTTGAAGTCCACCTCCCTCTAATCTAACCTTACATCACTCATCCAAGTTGGAGCTTAGCCATAGGAAAGAGTCGAGTCGCCTAGCTTACTTATACTATGGCTCTCCACATTTTTGTCACAAATTTCAACCCAATGACAACATTTCACAAGCAAGACATAGAATCAAGTTATCCAAAATAGTAAGGGTGAGTTTGTTTGTTCTAATGCTTAGTAGGAGTGCATTTACAAACTTGGCATGAAGTCACCTATTTTACACTTGTTTTATTTTTCACATGATGTTATTTTTCTTGTGAACACCAACTAAGGGGGAGAATTTGATGTGATTAATATTCATGCATCAATAGGTTCTCAAGCATATGAGGCATTTTAGTTCTTAACATGTTATATATTTGCACTTGCATGATGTATACATAAATATAACCTATGATTAACTTGGTGGTTATCATACCTATGATTGTGTTATTTAATTCTATAACATATGATGCTCTTCAAAAGGTTTTGGTTTCAATGGAGATGCGCATGACTATGACCTACAAAAGCAATACTTATGATGTAGATCTTGTACTAAGATAGAGATTCAACACGTGTGCAAGAGTGTCGGGATTAGATTTACAATTCATTTTGTTCAATGATTTGTGAGTTGTAATCTTAATCTCTTGAGTATTTTTGTTACAAATTTTACAAAGGGGAAGATTGTTTGATATATGTTTTCTAATTGACTGATTTTGTGGAGTTCATTATAAATCTCAACCTATTGCATGGTCAAGATCTTATAAAGATTCAATATCTAAAAGTGTAATCGAAGGGATGAGATTAAGCGTAAAATTTACATCATTCACACTCTAGTTACACCTTCAAACTTAGGATAAAGGTAATGACCTAGATACCTAAGATAACCCATAAGTTTAATAGACTTATGAGGATTATAGTTAAAATGGACTTATGAGGATTAGGTGATTTAAAAAAAAAAAGATTTTTTAAACCGCTTTGTGTTTTGAAAACATAGTTTGAGCCATTAATGGGGCCCTCTTAAGCAACATCTTTTTGTGCTCAAGAGGACAAGTTTTTTACTTGGTTTTAGGTTTTAAAAATCGGTAGGAACCACCCTCTACTCGCTAGCCTTTGCTAGAGCGGTCCCTTTAAGAATTAGGGAAGAAAAAGTGGGAAACGACTATAGAAGAAGAATATAGCTCGCTCTTGTAGCCATAACCTCCCTTTAAGCTCGCTCTGCAGGTGTCATTCTATGTGAAGTCATAGAAATGAGCAATATACTGGGGTGCAACTCAATGGTGAAGTCTACATTCCTAGGTGGAGGTAATCCCGGTAGTTCCTCCAAAAAAACGTCCTCATACTCAAAAACCACCCGAGGTAAACCCAACTTCTAACGCCCCAAAGTCCACCTTGGACGGATTACTATCTAAAACCATTCACATCATGAGAGCAACTAATATGATCCATAAGTAAAGAAGATTTCATTCATCATTCCAAATATTTACAACATCATCCAAAAGAATTTGTCAAACCATGGCCTTTGTATCCAAAAGAATATGCCAAACTATGGCAATTACATCCCAAAAATTAACTATTAACTTGCAGCGGAATAACAAAAATATTAGACTTCACATTGTCTCAAAATGAATCTCTTAGTCTAGAACATAAAAAAAACAATTCTAGACATCCCTCTTTGGATCCACATGTTCGTCAACTTGAGCTTCCCAAATCACTTGCTCGTCAACTCGAAGCTCTTCCTCTAAACCGAAATCTAAAAATAATTATTGTTTGTAGGGGGTGAGCACTAAGTTTTATAGGAAAATCCTCTCAAACTTGGACAAGATTTTGAAAATATATAAAACAAATCAGTCTCATTTCACAAATATCATATATAACTTTTGAAACAAAAAAGTGAAGCTCATCCGATCTCAAGTTTAAGCAATATCAATAAATTAAAAGAAGAGATAAAACCAATTCTCAACAATAATCCATTTCCAACCATGAACCGTTTTCACAACAACAAACACAACCCATAATTTGGACCACTGCCAACAATGTATATCAAACCACAACTTGTATCTTTCACAACATTATGTATATGTGTATCTCAAGTATGATGTATGACATCACATGAATAAACACATTGAGAATATTTTGACCCACACACACACACCCAATCCTCGCAAGGATATACAACTTTAGGAAGGGTGTATACCGACGCATCGGCAGTTATGAATCCAACTCAGGAATAATATACTAACCCTCATCCTCGGTACTCGTAAGCGAATAGTGGTTTGGTCTTCACAAGACACCAATCCACTACGAGTATTAGGAAAAATTCAAACCCGCATGAATTAAGAAACGCATCTACCCACTCTACGATACCCGATCAACGGCCACCCATGGTCATCCAAACATCCACAAGAGATACAATTTCCAACAATTTCTCAAATAACAAGCAAATCCAAAATTCCCAAATTTCACATGTAGTATTACCATAGAGCAATTTAAGAAAATAAGCAAGAGATCATCAAAAGACATACTTTTATTGTTCAAAATAAAGCACTAAGATTTTTGAGTCAAGAGCACAAGAATATCAAGAAGAAGATTTCATGTTTCTCAAAAACTAGGTTTTGACATCAAGAAAACAAGGGTTTTATGGCTATCAACCATAACTTCACCCAAAACATGGTAATAGTTGCAAGAATATCAAGAATCAAGGATTTCAATACATATATATAAGATTTAGAGTCAAAACATGTATATATATAAGCCCTAGCATCAATGAGCAAGAGTGGAAGAAAACTCCTACCTTTCTTCTTTAACTTTGAGTGAAGAACTAGAAGATTTGATCTTTTCCAAACTTGAATCAACACTTTAATTTCTTTGTTTTTCCCTTTCTTTCTTCCTCTATAAGCCTCCCTAGGGTTAGAAATGTTGAAATGAGGCTAATGGGGGTGTCCTTATGTATTTATAAGGTGAGAAGTGGTCTCATGTGCACAATTCTGATGGTCTGAATTCGTAACTCACATTCGAACGTCATTGGCGTTTGAATGTCCTTTGCTCCAAGTACTTTTTTTTTTCATCAAACAAAAAGTACTGGAACGCACTATCATTTGAACGGACTTTCACATTCGAACAGACTTCCGGTTTCTGCTAAAACTTCCAGTGAAGTTTTGGCCTATTTAGAGGTCGATTTGGAAAATTTTTATAAAATACACTTTTGTAGCCCTAGAAGTCTACTATCCACTGTCACAATTTTAGAGCAAATGGACATCATAATAAAAAGGTATGATCCAAATACTAGGCAGTGTCCAAAATCCTTTCTACCCAAATTTTGTCTAAAATGTGTTTTCAATCCGGAATACTTCCAAACTTCTACAACACACCCTATTACCTCAACTAACATTTTATCTCTACTATTTAAAATCCACCTAGTTCATGCATACATCATTACATATATTAGCATTTCAAAATAATTACATTGCTATATTAAGATAAGCATGTGGGGGTTTACACAACTCCTATCTAATCTCGTCTTCTAAGGTAAGACTTGCTAGCTAACCCATCAATTACCCGTGCCAACAGGAATCATACACTACTTAGGGAATAACATCATACTTCTACCCCTAAAATTTAAAATAGACACCCTCTGGTGTGTAGGTGGTGACCTTCTTCCGATCACAATCGATGATAACTTGATGTGCCATCAACCAATTTTTCCCAAGGATAACATCAAACTCCACATGTCCATGGTGAGTAAAATTCCCTATATCTCTAACTCAAAATCTCGACATACTTAATCAATGAATACCCTAGCTCTTAGGGATGAACTCACACACAATGGTTTTTTAAATAGTAATAGAGCACTAACTTAGTATCCCAACGTAAGGATTGATTAGTAGTTAAAATTAGCATATTACTATGCTCTTTTAAGACTAATTATACTTTAATGGAGTTTAAATGATGACATTTCAGGCCATAAATTGTACATGGGACTAAAGGCGATGAATATCAAACTTTCATACAACACTAGCATATTTTGGAGCAAAATTAGAAAAGCTTAGACCAAGCCATGAACATTTGAACGCTAACTCACGTTCGACCGTCCACTTAAATTGATTGAAGTCCAGACTGCTAAGAGATGGTGTGTTGTAGCCAAGAAAGAAGACACTGAGGTACTTGAGTTCCACGTTCAAACGTCCACTTGAATTTATTGAAGCCTAGACTGCTAAGAGATGGCGTGTTGCAGCCAAGAAAGAAAACTTTGAGATATTGAGTCACATTCAAACACCAACTCACATTCAAACGTCCACTTGAATTTATTAAAGCCTAGACTGCTAAGAGATGGCGTATTGCAGCCAAGAAAGAAGACCCTGAGGTACTTGAGTACCACGTTCGAATGCTAACTCATGTTCAAACATCCACTTGAATTGATTGAACA